TTGTCTCACAGCTTTCCAAACAGAGCAGGTCAGACCCTACTCTGAAGTTAACTACAGAAACCCAACAATTCCCAATACAATGCCTGACACCCGAACTAGAAGAAGAAACAGAACAGAAAGGAAAACAGCAGTCAGTGAAAGCCTGACGGAGTCATTTGAGGCCGTCGTGTGTTTTACGAGATGTTATGCAAGCCGTGATAATCTGCAGAAATGTGAGTAATCCTTCACTTATTTAAAAAATCTGCGATCTGACTGGCTGGACGGAGTGGATTCGTTTGGATAATTAGCCATCATATCTCTGGTACAGTAGTCAGGTGACACACGGCCCGTTTTTACCACTTATTCAATCTCTAGATCAGTGTTTTTCAACCACTGTGCCTCGGTACACTAGTGTGCCGTAGAAAATCATCCTATTTCACCTAATTGGTCTACAAAGATTTTTTGATAAGTAATTAACTATCTGAAAATATTATTCCATTTTTGAGTGTCTGTGCTGTTCTAGTGACTGGTGGAGTAATCATGTAATAATTAATTATGACTAGATTTTCTATATAATTTTGTATATTGAAGTGGACATGTTAAGAGCAATTTGGAAGAAGAAATATAAAACATGATAAAAATACATTTTTGTGTTTATTTAATTCATATTCAAGACACTTAAGATAAGAATAAAATAAGAATAACTATAGTGTTACTATAGGCAGCTACAGATTTGACATTTTTGGTTGGTGGTGTGCCTCGAGATTTTTTCAATGAAAAAATGTACCTTGGCTCAAAAAAGGTTGAAAAACACTGCTCTAGATTTCCTTCGATAAAAACTGTGGCGAACGCAGTTACATGGGCATTTTTTCTGGGTGAATTTATTTTATTTTGTGAATATGAATATGTTTTTAATTTCTATTTCATATCTTTGTGTATTTTTTATTAATATGTACATACTTTGGGAAAATATTGTAACAATGTCAGATGGAGACGTCACCGATTGGGTTTTCACTTGATCACGTGATGCTTTGATAGGAAGTTCTGAGTTTTGTTTATAATTAGTCTGCATGTGCAAGAGAAAAGGCAAAGGACTAAAAAATGGAAGAAATGGACTTTTAGCAGCTCCTAACCTTCTGGTTGGAGGGGCATACGGTACGGACAATTTAGAGAATTTATATTTTGTTTAATAAGTTTCATTTGATAATTCATGTAAGGTAAACATGACGGTTTTATTGATGAATATTTTCCACCGCGTATTTTGCAGTGTTCACGGTGGTCTTGGGCATTTACATGACGGAAAATCCTTTAATAAACGTTTGGAACCATCAGTTGGATATTTGCACTTTCATCAACCAGTTAGAAAAAGTTGGGAGCAGCTATAAATACCTTTTCCGACTCACACCACAAAAGTGAAGCATCTCCTGATTGAGCTCACAATGAACAATCTGGAGCTTTGTGGACGAGCAGAAACATTGAATCGCACAGTTCCACCTTAAGGAGAAGGGTCGTGCCTTTAATGTACGTGTTATAAACGTGTTATAATGTACGTGTTATAAAGTGAATAACTAACCTGTGGCTAAATTTGAACATATTCAATTTTGAGCTTTACAATTGACATTTGCATTCTATGTCATGGAAATAATTCGTTAAGCCTGTTAGTTTGTTTAAGTCTCTTTTGTTGTCAGAATGACTCTTTGGAGTGCCTATTCAAAAAGTTAAAAAACATTTTCATAAAGCAAATAGCCATAAACGTCAAACTGAAATTCATCCATCAAACGGATCTATTGCTGATTGTTTAACCTTTTTCTTTTAATACAAATATTTATCTGCACAATCTCAGATAATGAGACTGAACAAATCCCTGCTCACTTTTACTTTCTGTACTCAGCTTCTCAGATCCCCTTTGCTGACCTCGTTATGTAACCTAGTTATGTAGTTTCTTCCTTATTCCCCCCTCTGCTTCTTACACCTCCAGAAAATTCAAGTTAATGAACGCTCACCCAAAGGGACACATTTAAGGGGTTTTCAGGGCATCAACAAGGCTAAATTAATTTGACAATGACTGACTGAGAGGTCTGGGGAGCTACACTAGCTTGGTGTGTTCTGAGCATGCGCAAACCGCGGGAATCCGGCCCGGAGGACGATGGCTTTGGGTCTGCTGCCCCCTGGTGTTCAGTTTTTGTAACTGCAGGCTTCTGCTGTTCAAACGAGCCTGATCCAAGAAAAATAGGAAGAATATTGGATTTTTTTTTTGTCTGAAGACTTTCTTTGGCCCCTCAACAACATATGAAGAAAAGAAAACAGAAATTATTTTGATCTTTTTAGCGTGCAATAAGTCAAAAATGTATTTTGGTGTAGTCTTCTACTGGCTGTTATCAGGTATATCTGAATGTGTACAACAGGGGTTTGAGCAAAGCTTTTACCACTGAATGATGCAAAAAGTCTCAGATCCAAAAGACTCCAGAAACCGTTTGTATCAGATATGATACATTTGGCATTATAGGGTTAAATAGGCGAAACTGGTTATACAAACACAAAGAAATGACAATATAGGTCCAGACACTCTGTGTTTTTGTGATTTTAGTTTATATTCATTACAGAAACAAACCCACTCTTTGTTATTGAATAACCTCCACAACAAATACACAGAGATGAGTGATTAATTCTGACCGATTGTTTGACCTGATGCTGATTCATTTCTACTATAAGCATCCTAACATGCCATCTGGTTCTGGGTCAGGTTCTTCCATCAAAATATCAGAGGTGATTATTTTTACAAGAATAAATGAGCAGAGACAAAGCAGCTTTCAGGTGAGTCGTTTATTCTTTGATTTTCTTGGTCCACGGGGAAAGATTTGAGCTCCTTAACTTTTGTACAGTTAAAATCTAAATAAATATGACTCACTGAATAAATGCACATCATAATTACAGTGTTGTTCACTTCCTACATGAAGCTCAGAGGGACTTTGAGAGCAAAAATCTTGATATAATTGTGAATATTTCAAACCACTCCAAGCTTTAGTTTTCCAGTGGAAGGCAATGAGAAAAAATACATACTTCTCATTTATTTCCTTATGATTATTTGGAAACTAATTGCAGTGCTTGATGAGGTAGTTGACCCTTCATTTTCTTGGAGAAAAATAGAGTTATCAGTTAAATTATTAGTTTTTTTTATTACCCTGCATTTTTTATACAATCAGCATGGCGTGATTAGAGAATATTTGGCTTTTGCTTCTCATAATATTTTACCAGTCAAATCCGTCGATTGATTCTCTATAACATGTGAAGAAGGAATTCACTTTGAATTCATCATCTCAGTCACTGCTTTTCTTCATGTGTGGCCCCTAGAAAAAGCAGTAAGAGACTCACAGAGCTCAGCAAAATACAAACGACAAAAAGAAATCACCATTTGATGATGTTAAAGGACACTGTAAAATGTCATTTTCCTGGTTGCTGTCGGAATTAGTACATTATAGTGTTTCTCATTAAAAATGAAAAAGCTTGCAAAGAAAGAGTAAACTTCTGTTGTACTCTGAGTTTTCATGACCAGAAGAGTTTACAGTTCGTCCTTAGTGAATCATGGTCACTCACAAAGAGGCAAAAAGCCCCAAAGGAGCACAATTATTCTGCAAAATGAAGCTAAATGTTCCAGAGTGTGAGCCTTATCTCTCACAGACGTGTTCTCTGTCTCCCTGGTAGTTTTAAGATTTGATGAGGTTAAAGGACACCGTAAAATGTCATTTTCCTGGTTGCTGTTGGAACTAGTAGTTTATAGTGTTTCTCATTAAAAATGAAAAAGCTTGCAAAGAAAGAGTAAACTTCTGTGGAACTCTGAGTTTTCATGACCAGAAGTTTACAGTTTTATCCTAAAGTGTCCTTAGTGAATCATGGTCAGTCACAAGGAGGCAGAAAGCCCCAAAGGAGCACAATTATTCTGCAAAATGAAGCTAAATGTTCCAGAGTGTGAGCCTTATCTCTCACAGATGTGTTCTCTGTCTCCCTGGTAGTTTTTAGATTTGATGATGTTAAAGGACACTGTAAAATGTCATTTTCCTGGTTGCTGTTGGAACTAGTAGTTTATAATGTTTCTCATTAAAAATGAAGACGTTTGCAAAGAAAGAGTAAACTTCAGTGAAACTCTGAGCTGAGGCCAGTTTTCATGACCAGATGTTTACAGTTTTATCCTAAAGCGTCTTTACTGAATCACGGTCAGTCAAAGGGAGGCAGAAGGCCCCAGAGGAGCATAATTATTCTTCAAAATTAAGCTAAATGTTCCAGAGTGTGAGCCTTATCTCTCACAGATGTGTTCTCTGTCTCCCTGGTAGTTTTTTTTTTATTTGATGATGTTAAAGGACACTGTAAAATGTAATTTTCCTGGTTGCTGTCGGAACTAGCACATTATATTAAATTAAGACATTTGCAAAGAAAGAGTAAACTTCTGTTGAACTCTAAGTTTTCATGACCAGAAGTTTACAGTTCGTCCTTAGTGAATCATGGTCACTCACAAAGAGGCAAAAAGCCCCAAAGGAGCACAATTATTCAGCAAAATGAAGCTAAATGTTCCAGAGTGTGAGCCTTATCTTTCACAGACGTGTTCTCTGTCTCCCTGGTAGTTTTTTTAGACGAGCAGAGGGTTGTCCAGCACGGCCACGCCCGCGGCCACGCCCCCGTCCGAGTGCTCCGAGCTCTTGGTCCTCAGCAGGTGACCCACACACTCGTTCATCAGCACGTCCCCGCCCCTCCTGTGAGGAAACAGAAATACAGGTTATTAACTCATTGGCTGCCAAAGACGTCTATAGACGTCTTTTATGTTTTTCAACGAGAGTGGCTTGGGGGACGATCTGCTAAAGCTTATCCGTAAATATCGGCTTCTAGACAGAGTATGTAGTAACAAATTGACCCTCTAGGGGGCAGTGCCACTTTTGATGGGAGATGAGCATAGACTGTAGGCAAATAAGAAAAAGGTAACGGTTCTATGAGAGAACATGTCGCCGGTGAGACGCAAGTCCAGGAAGAACGGAATAAGGTATAAACACATTTTTTTTCCTGATGAAAGAAGAGAGTCTACTCTTTCTTTTGGTGTGTTCGGTGTTTACATAGTCATAGCACAAACTATTCTGTGGCTCTTGAAAAATCAGTCAAAATGCTCAAAAAACTCTGGCAGTATGGGACTCTGTTCTGAAAATGGCTGGCAGTCAATGAGTTAAATGTAAAGACGGGTTTAAAAAATTCAGGGGACAAAACTGTGCCTGAAGGACGTCTATTATAGGTTTGTCCTGATCCGATATTTGCAAAAAACTGCGTATCGGCCGGCTGGAGAAAATGCAGATCCAAACTCCAGATCCAGTTTTTTTTTTTTTAAAGTCCGATCCCACATTAGCATTAGCATTAGCATCTCCTGACCCACAGGTCTGTGTCCTAACCATTAGACTTAGACTTAGACTTAGACAGTACTTTATTGATCCCTTGGGAAGACTCCCTCAGGAAATTAAGGTTACCAGCAGCTTAAAGGGCAAAAAGTATCAAGTTAGAATTAAATTAAGCAAAAAAATACAAATAAATAAATAAAAATACAAAAAATACAGATTAAGTACAGTGTATGTAATATCTCTAAATGTAAAGACGCGTTTTTTTTCATCCTAACTAAGGATGTCTATTATAGGCTTTTTTTTAAAGCCCGATCCCACATTAGCATTAGCATTAGCATCTCCTAACCCACAGCTCTGTGTCCTAACCATTAAGTTGTTATCAGAGTAAATCCCTGTTCAACATGAGTCTGACAACTAAGTAAGTAGATAAATAACTTTAAACTTTAACACATGCTCTGATAGCGATACTTTTGAAAATGAGTATAGTATCCGGATACAACGTTTTAGTATCGATACTTTTTTGAGTATCGATACTTTTGACAAGCCTAATTTCTAATGGTCTTTAAATTCTTATTCTATTTCTGGAAATCAACTTGCGAACCCCGACCCTGTGGATAAATAAATAAGTAGATAAATAACTTTAAACTTTAATACATGCTCTGTATTTCTTGAAGGAAATCATAAAGATGTGGATCTTGAATTTCCCCTTGGGGATCAATAAAGTATCTATCTATCTATCTATCTATCTATCTATCTATCTATCTATCTATCTATCTATCTATCTATCTATCTATCTATCTATCCTTAAAGCTAAATTAATAAATTAATGGACTGCAATGCAGTTATGTAGCTCAGACTAGATTACATTTTTTTTGTTTTTAAATAAATCACCTTCCTGGCACTTTGCACACAAATCAAATCATTTTACGAAGAGAATCCGAGCAGAAATGCTGGCGTACTTTACGTATGCTCCGAACACCCCCAGCTCACTGAGGCAGCTGCTCATTCTGAGGGGAGCATCTCGTCTCAGGAGGTAGTTCTGCACAGGGACGGGGTTAATTTTGTCCATTAGGATATAAGCCGTCCGCTCCGTACTGTCCTTCACCCCCTCCAGGACCTGGCAGATCTCCGATCCATAGATGTTGTTGCCTAGAAAAAATGAATCAAAATGTTGTGTTGAGTGGGTGGATCTATATACGGTACTGTTCATTTGTTTTTTAATCATCTCGGCAAAATGACTCATAACTCTTTTAATCTTGTCATTTCAAATATTCAAATAGAGGGAAACAGAAACAGCTGCATAGCTCAGTCAAAATGAAACAACACCATCGAGAAAAGAGAGAGACAGGATGCTTGTGGTTTGATTTTCTTGCTCATATTGGTACTCATGGTGGCATGACGGTTTCTCAAAAGCCCCAATTACCAAAAGCTACTGGCCTTTTACGCTTTACGGCAAAATTACAAATTAAAAAAACTCCCTAATTCATCACAGTATTATGCTCTGCTGATTATGTTTTTCCACTTTGGCACAAAGTTATCCAGTTGGGAATAAAATGGCATGCCATCATCCCTCTTTGCCTGATGAGACTTCTGTCCTTAATTCTGCCTTGTTTCCAGTTAACCTGACGATTTTTAAATTGTTCTGCTTTATCAGTGTTAATATTACAGTGTTTTTAAAGTGTTAATATTTTCCAAACATCACAAAGATGGTGACTGAAGATGCACATAATCGTTTACCGTATTTTTCGCACTAAAAAGCACCTAAAAGCCTTCAGTTTTCTCAAAAACCGACAGAGCTCCTTATAATCTCGTGCGCCTGATATATAGATCAGGGTTGAGTCGCTTCAGTTCTCGCAACTACAGGAAGCAGCTGTGGACTCAATTTCTCCCGTAGAAGAAGAAGTAGAAGAAGTAGCATGGAAGAGGCGCCACCTTCTGGGAATTCGGCAGTACTGCACAATGTACATACAGTGGGGGAAATAAGTATTTGACCCCTTGCTGATTTTGCAGGTTTGCCCACTTACAAAGAATGCAACGATTTATAACTTTAATCATATGTACATTCTAACAGTGAAAGACAGAATCCCAAAGAAAATTCCAGAAAATCACATCATATGAATTTATAAAAATGGATAACCTGATGAGGTAAAATAAGCATTCTTTGTAAGTGGGCAAACCTGCAAAATCAGCAAGGGGTCAAATACTTATTTCCCCCATTGTATCTATTAGTCCCCATTTTAAAAGAAGACACAGGTGTCAGACTCCAGTCCTCGAGGGCCGGTGTCCTGGAGGTTTTAGAGGTGTACCTGTTTGAACACACCTGATTCACATCAAAGTGCCGTTAGCAGGCTGGTGCAAAGCTCAACAGTGTCCAGAGGAGAGCCAATTTAATCATAATCAGGTGTGCAGAAGCAGGAAAATGTCTAAAACCTGTAGGACAGCGGCCCAAAGAGGACCAGAGTCTGACAGCCCTGCAGTAAGAGAAGGGGGCTCTTAAAAAAATGTGGACATTTAAAGTAAACGTTGAATCTGATCCTAAGTACGACAACAGGTAGTTAAAATATTTCATTACCGGCCGTTTTGTTTAGTTTTTTACGAGAAAAGCTTGTCAGTTTTATGCTAGCTGATACATATTGTAACGTTTGATTTAGCGTAAAGCTATCGGACTGTTTCTGTTACGGGTTTACTGAGTGGAGGACATTATAAAATAATAAAACAGCAGTTTTTTCATTTTGGGAGTGAATGGAGTCGTCAGAACGCTGGTTTGTGTTATATAAATAAAGTTTGACTGACCTATCTGACTGTTTTGTTGGCATTCGCTTTAGCTAGCTGCATCTAGTGGATGCCAACGCAGCCCAAGCCTCTACTGGAGCTTTTATTCAATGCGCCTTATAATCCAGTGCGCCTTATAGTGCAGAAAATACGGTGCTTTGAGCTTGTGACTGTTAACAAAGGGTTTTTACAGGTTTATTTTGTTCTAAAAAAATTTTGTACCTCCTCCTTCTCGCTGAGGTTTCAGGACAAACTGGTCTGGAGCTGCCAAAGCCATCGCCACCGTTTTGTCCCCGTCTGGTCCCTGTTAGCGTCGGAGACAAGAAAAATCCCGTTCACATTTCCAGTTGCACACACACAAACAAACACACACAGTGATGTTTGCCTCGTTTCCTCACCATGTCCAAAGTGTAGAGGCCCGCGAACGTGGCCCTGATCTGCTCCACCACTCGAGGCTGGTCGGGGAGGAACTTCTCCAGGACTCCAGGCCTGGCCAGTACCTGCTGGACCTTCTTGGTTCCGGCCAGGTGAGTGCCGATGTCGGGACACTTTATGGCCAGAGAGCGCTCCATCATGAGGCGAGCATCCCAGCACTGAAATGAAAAAACAAAAATAAAAAATAAAAAATGACATAACACAGTTTGGGAAAATGTCCCATCTTTCCACACACATAAAAAATATGGTTGAAATACTTAAAAGGGACATATTAAACCCTATTTCAACAAGTTAACCTAGTTCCCTGGTGTCCTGATGTAATGTCTGTGACAAGCTTTGGTCAAAATCCCATAAGGATGAAGCCCAATAACAGTTCAGTCCCCCTGCCTAACCCTAACCCTAACCCTAACCCTAACCCTAACCCAAAACAGCCCCGTTCAGAGCGCTCGCTTTGGAGTGCCTGTCTCTTTAAATGCAAATGAGACACAGGCAATCCGCCCACTTCTTCAGGGAGGTGTGCCCACGTCGGCACGCTAACGCTACCATGTTAACACTACCATGCTAACGCTATCATGCTAACGCTCACGTTACCATGACGTCTGCCACAGATAGGGGAGTAAGCTGAGGGGGGGGGCAACATGCAGGTGAAAGGCTGGAATATTATAATGAGCTAGAGCTAATGACGTCAGAAACTACCCACTCCTGAAACCTCCTGATTTATCTCCTGGATTCAGACTTAGGCAGCCCACAAAAACATGACTGAGTCATTTCTTTTCACACTTTGCCTGCTGATAGGCCCTCCACAGTCCCAAATGTACAGAATCAAATGATTAAAAACTTGGTTTTGCATAATATGTCCCCTTTAAATAGTCTTTAAATAGCTTTACAGCTTTGTTTTGTGTCTGTTTCTCTTTTGTACTGGCCGTCTGCTTTCTCTGGGAACACATTCCTGACTAAATAGAAAGCACATTGTGCAGCAGAGCGTGAGAACGGTTTGTTTTCTGTTGCCTCAGACTACAACACGGACAAAATGGATATTTCTGGGGGGTAAGATGCGTAATACTGTTTTAACAGGAGCATACAAATTCAGTTAGTTAGTTCAATGCCAGTTTAGCTTGTAATTTTCACACATTTTTTAAATAAGGATGTAGTGGTAAAGTAAATCTAATAAGAACAATGTTTTCAACTGGGGCTCCAGGGTCCCTTTGATATTAAATAACAATGTCTATGTCCTGATTTCATTTATTATAACAGGACAAAGATTAAGCATCTTTAAATGTCATATCTCAACATGCTTAAACTTACAATAAACTGTTAGTATTACAATCATCTCCAACTGGGAATATCAGAGCCAAAGAAAACCCTTTTAGGGTTACAGTTTTTTTAAATAACTTTTCATTTTCATATCAGTCCACCAAACAAAATGGCAGGGGGTGAAGGGGTCATTCACACATACTCATTTAGATGACCTATGTCATGTTTTTCCATAAAAAAAAGAAAAAGAAAAGAGTCAAACCTGTTCGGACACGTAGTTCTGCGGCATGTAACCATTCCTGAAGTACACCACTGCAACCTCTTTGCCATCTCTGAAATATAGACGTTAAATAAAACTGACCACAAAGACTCTTTCTGCTTTTCTTTTGACATTTAAATAAGTTCATTCGGTATCGGAGAAGAAGAAGAATACTTACACAGACAGCCTCTTGCTCTGATCAAGACATCCCGATTTACACACGTCGTCAAACCGCTTCCTTATTGTGGGAATGTTTCTGCAACATAAAAGCAGAGTTAATTTCCTGAATGTCAGCTCAAATTGCAGGTGACAAAAGCTCATTCTGGCTTTTTCAAAAGATCTAAACAAACCGGTGTTCCAGAGTCCTTTAACTCTATCTTTGGTGCGCTTGAAGAATTCCCACACTTGACCAACAGGGAAGGCATTTTACTCCACTGGAAGGATAAGAATCATCCCTCCCCTGACTCTTGGCTGAAGGGTTTAATGGCATTCCTACACTTAGAAAATATCGAATACAGTTTTATGAGGTGTGCCGACAAATGTGATAAAACTTGGAATCCCATTCTTTCCTTAATTAATTCTATTCCCTCCTTAGATGATTAAAGTAGATGGTGCGAATTAAGATACACTGACGTCACTCCTTTTTAACTGAATCACTCCTATGTTTTTGTGTGTTTTTTTTTATATTCTCCATTTGGGATTTCAGGAGAGGCCAGTAGTTGGTTTGATTATTTAGTGGTCGAACTTATAAAAACTGTTATAGTTACATTTTTTATTTTGTTTTCCAACAAAACATTTCAGATGCCTCCTCCTCTAAATGTCACTTTTTCGTTTCTTCTTATTATTTTTTGTTCAATTTGTTTGTTGGTTTGGCAACTGTTCGCCCTTCCTGTTTTCTCGTTGAGGGGGAGAGAGTTGTTCATTGTTAACATTACTTACTATATTTTGTTTGTATGTGAATGTGACTTTTAATTTGGGGGGAGGGGATGAAATGTTTCCTCATGTATTGTATCCTTATAACCCAATAAAAATATTGATATGCTAAAAAAAGGATAAAGGAGCATCAAAGTCAGAGATATGGATTCAGCTCTCACTGAAACAGCCAACATACTGCCGGGGTGTTTTACCTCTTCCACAGCTCACTCTCAATGTACCGTTGATCAAAGATGTTCCTCTGGATCTCCTCCACCAGGAACATGACCACCGCTCTGAAATAAAAAATGGATATTTTTTTTATCAGTTTGTCTCCGTGTCGGCCCCATGATGGACCTATAACCCCTGTAACCATAAATTACACAAGGAGAATAAAGAAAACGGACTGAGGCATGGATGGACCTCTCAGTCAAATATCTGGATCCAAAACTGCTTTATAGCCATTTTTTATGATAATTTTTTAGCATTGAATCTCTACTAAGGTCTGAAAGAGGATATATGAAAAAATTCAAGTATGTTTGTTAAAAAAAGAGCAGATCCTGCAGTCTGGAAGGGGATGACTAAAAATAACATTGCCAGCTCAAAAGCTTCAAAGCCCCATGCTTAATCAGCTGAAAAACTACACTGATCAATTCTGACAAAGGCTAAGCACACACCAAAGACATCGGTACCGATGGAGGATTAAATACAACCATATCAGTCCAGTGCTCAGGTCTCTCCTCTGGGTTCCTGTCTCCCAGAGAATAAACTTTAAAACAGCTCTGCTTGTGTACAAGTCTTTTCATGTGGCTTCTTCTGGCTCTCTTCCAGAAAATGTTTTAGAACTCTTTCAGGAACGGGAGGCACTTCGCAACTACAATCTCAGAGGCAAAAATCAATTACACAAACCAAAAATAAGAACTACATTGAAACAAACGTGCATCTCCAGTCGTGGTGTCACCCTCTGGAATATTATAGCGGAGGGACATAAGTGTAGTGGAAACATACACTGGTTCAAAAAAATATTTAAGTGGAATGTCATTAGTAAATACCTGGAAGAGAGTGAGTGATGTTCTATGAGGGAGGGGTGTAGGGACGGGGAGCATTGGGCCAGTGTGTTGTCTCTGTGTCCTGTATGCATGAGTGTGGATGTGTTGTTTGTCTTGTTTTTGTTTTTTCTTTACAGGTCTTGGTGAGTGTCCCTGGGATTGGACATGCATAAGCTTCGGCTTCTTCCATCCCCTTTTCAAGCCATGCATTTGTATTGTTTGTCACTATATGTATTCTAAAATGTGTGCAGGTTTGAAATAAACTTTTGAAATTGAAATTGAAATGTTAGAGCCAGATGAACCAGCTCAGACTCTGAGAACCAGGTTCTGGACTCCTGATGGGGCCCAGAGTCAGAACTAAACCAGGTTCTGGTCTCCTGATGGGGCCCAGAGTCAGAACTAAACCAGGTTCTGGTCTCCTGATGGGGCCCAGAGTCAGAACTAAACCAGGTTCTGGTCTCCAGAGTCAGAACCAAACCAGGTTCTGGTCTCCTGATGGAACTAAACCAGGTTCTGGTCTCCTGGTGGAACTAAACCAGGTTCTGGTCTCCTGATGGGGCCCAGAGTCAGAA